TTATCGATGTGATTATATGAATAGGAACTACTTCTAGGAAAACTACTGGCATAGAATGTTGTACGATGCTGATAGCGTAATTACCAAATTCGAATAAACGTATACCTATGTAAATATGTAATAGTTTTAAAGTTCAATAAATCATTTATTAGTAGGTAGTTGTAGATGACGTTCACATAAGATAATATTGTACTTAGATAATATGTACTTTTTAGTTCTCAAACGTTTCGGTTTAGGCCCTTCTAAAACGTACTCCCGGAGTCCTCAATTTTCAACGCAGTGACACCTCTAAATCAAATTTCTGCTCTCAAAAAAGCCGCGTATCGATCTAAAAATTGACAAATTGACAAAACAAAATTACTCGCTAATTTTTTTTTTTGAATAATTTAAATTTTGAACACTTAATTTACCTCCTTAATAATGTGTTAAACAACTTTTAGCATCTGGGAAATGATGTAGGTACGATTTTGCTTTAATCCTTGTAAGTTTTATAGGAGTAGGACTTATATTGTAGGATTTAGGTTTTTGTTAGATTTTTCAAAACCAAAATTAAAATTCAAGTTTTAGGATAAAAAGTTATTTTACGTGTTGGGAATTCTAAATGTGTCTATTCAAAACCATTTTAAAACTAAATGTTTAGGCATAATGATACACGGGGTGTTGTGACTATTTTAGTCCAATACATAATAAAAACAGCTTATAAATTATTATTTCATATTAACTAGAAAAAACAATTCATTTTATTCTATAAACTAATTATAAAATAAATAATAAATATTTAAATTTGTATTGGATATTTTATAACATTAAACTATTGTTTGGTATAGTACAAATTACTAATTGGATTGATTATATTGTAATACAATATTATAATATTTATTAGTAATTATTGAGAGAAAAAAAGAAAATACATTGGAATATTGTAATTTATTATTTATCCCCAGACACAGTGAGCGATGTAGGTACAGAACTACAGACCTGCATTTGTCATTCAAAATTCTAGGCAGAGTTATAATACATAAACAGTCAAACAGATGTATTATAGTTATGTTCTTATGTGATATACTGATATAGGTTCATTATACATATTAGTTACCGACAGTGATGGGAAAATAGTCCAACAATGGGCAAAAATTCTGTCTTAAACATTACAGTAAATTACACAATAAACGAATGACAACAATAGTTGATTGGTAAATTGGTAATATTAAGGACATCAAGAGGTCAGTTCTTCTTTTAGGCTCTTATGAGTAATTCAATTTTAAAAGTATGATTAAAATAAATAATAACGTACCTAAATAATTAATTAGTACAGTGCAAAATATTTTTTATCAGCCTTGCCTAATGCCTAGTGAATAGTGATACGTAAAATACCTAATAGTTATAGTACCTAATCGGCTAGAAAAGTATAAAACGAGTATAATAGTATATAATATACGACAGTATAATAATATAATGCAGATCGACATATTATAAATCCTCGTTAAAATATTATAATACAATTATTATAGTGTACCTCTGCGTAAGTATACGAGTATACAGTTAGAGTCGGTATACCAATAATAGTCGTAATAATGGCATTTGGAAAAATTAACGGGCCCGAAATCCAGCTGATGCTGGTCGATTAATATAATAATGTGCTGGCTACTAATAAACGATGTTTGTTTTAAATCATCGTCGACGGCCCAAATCGATCGATCGTCCGGAATAAATACCGAAATCGGCACATTTGCAACTCATCTGAGTATAATCTGACACCTTACGCGGACAAAAAAAAAACCTGAACGAAAAAAAATGGCTGCATCGCATAACGAAGAAAAGGAAATGGAAACAACCATCATGCAAATCCTGGGAAAGATAATAAGCAACGTCGAGTACGAGATTATGGAAGAAGAATTTAAACGAATCGACGACATCGACCAGGAACCTACCATCGGTGACCTGGAAGGACTTTTATCGTATGAGACGCGCTTCGCGGGGGACGACTACGTGCCGTTCAACCGCGTCTTTCAACCGGTCGACAAATCTGGCGAAACGGCAGAACCGGTTGAACCGATCGTTGACGACGTCGTAGTGGTCGCGCCTCCGGTGCAGGAAGCCGCGGAAAAGGAGCTGGGTGGCGAGGCGGTGGGCGCCACACCGGCCAGAGGACTGGAAGTCAGAAACAGTATTGGGATCTTGATTGGTTGATGCATTTGCTAGGTATATAACATAAATTCTCAGACATGGCCACAATAACATTATTCTATATTGTCATCACTCGTCATTATTTGTCGGTAATGTTTTCCTCCATACCATGTTTTAGAACAATTTATTTCTGCCCCAAAATGTGCAGATAAAAGAAGAAAAATGAATTTAAGAAAACACGCACACATATTATTATAAAATCAATCCATTCATCGCTCGGCTCAGAATTTAAAATAATAATAATAATAACTATAGTTTTTGTTATTGTTGTTGTATGAACACCACATTGTGTTTTCGTAAACTAGGTAGGTACTTCGACCCGTCGAAATGATTTTCGAATGATATATACCGAAGTGACGTTTCAAGAGCTTGCATTATTTTTCTTATATAATGACAGCAATCACTGGAGCAGAAAAATCATTTTCCTAACTAAAACTAATAAAAAATTACTTAAGAAACGCATGTGGACGAGTGCGTTCATCTAGTATAGCAATTTCAAATACATAAAAAGAACGAACTAAAAATCTAAATATTGAGGAAATGATTGACAATTTTGCTTTATAAATTATACTAGCCCTTGGTCTAGCCGGGGGAGACCCCCGGACCCCCCAGTGTTTGTTTGTAAGTGAGTACCGATTTCGGAGACAATGTCGTTGGAATTATAAAAATCACAAGGGTTGTAAGTCAAAAGTTTAGGATTAGTGATATGGATTGGAGATAAGGCTTGGCGCATTGGCAGGAATATTTAAAAGTTTGATCGTCTAGCAATCCGTCACAAACATTGTAAATAGATACGATCTCCAGGATCTCTAGTCAGCTGCTTTTGGTTGTTGAAATTATTAAAAATTGTAGTATCGATATGTGTATTTGATTGTCTAGCTATCAGTCATCAAATCACATAGGTAGGTAATCCGACTGCGTCGGATCGCGGACAATATGTGAAGCGTATATTACCAGGTATGCAATCCACCTGCGATTGGTGTAATACAGTAGCGTATCTAGGATTTTTTCAAGGGGGGAGATATAACAATTTTGTAATGTGTAAAAATAATAATAATAATTAGTAGGTATCATAATCTAGTATAGTTTAATTTCTAAAATCTAAAAGACTAAAACTACCTAATACAAACTCTAAAAACAACAACCGATTGGAACTTTTATTAATTATCATTGATCACGGACTTCAGTTAACTTACAACAGTCGTGTATGATTCAACTATTCTGGGTATTGTGTTAATATTTAAGTTGAGTACCTTATTCTACCTAAATTAAAATGTATTTTTTTCGTGACGCGTGTTTACATTAATCTTTTAATTTGATCAAAATATGACTGGGTTGACAAAAAATAAATGGGTTGTGTGGCTAAAAATATTAAATTAACGCAAACTGCTCAAGAATCGAAAATAATTTCCGGTATGTTTAATAAACAGATAAAACTTGAGGTGATAACTAAGCAATAAAAAAAAATATATTTTTATTTAAGATAATATTAATTTGTAAATATATTGTATACCAATATAAGAGTAATAGAGTATGGACAATAAGTGAGGAATCAGGTAAAATTGATGTATAGATAATGCAGTTGATATATTTTCAAAAAAAAGAAGATATCCTAATAAACTACTAATATTTTCGTTTATCAATATAAATATAGCCGTATAATAGTTTGCAGACATTTAACTGATATATGTATACAATTGTTTTTTTTTAAATGTCTGCTACCTTATATTTAAAAATTATGTTACCTAGTTAATAAAAAGGGTACCATAAACAAATTTAAGCAGATAATATGTAGTTGTGAGCAGTTTTTTTTTACCCATTCATCGGGCTGGTCAAAACCTTTGCCCCCTCTATTGAAAAACGAAATGATGCCACTGGTTGTATGATATTATTGAATTTAATACCATTCATTTTCGTTCATAGGTTAGGTTTTAGGTGAGCTGTTCAATCTTCATACAACTATCAAATAATTGTTTTAATAAAATTAAAAAAATTAAAATAACCTTCCCGGGGGGGGGTATGACCCCCATATCCCCCCCGTAGATACGCCACTGGTGTAATACCGTGCCCCATTGTATGTCCTGTTCTGTTTTGTTGACTTTATAAGAAATTAGGAATTGCGAATAATTGTAATGGAATGTCTAGCTATCAATCGTCGCTGTATGGTAATCTATGAGTTATAGGGCATTTGTGTATGGCGGATTGGATACATAACCCGGGAACAATTGCAGTTTAGCTCCCCCGCGCTATTTTGAATTTTTTTTATCGAAACTTATGTAACTTATCGAGTTAAGAACGATGGTGCAATCAAAATTTGTCGCTCTCACTTTGTTTCGAAGTTATGGCCTTCCAAAGTTTTTAATTTTCGTTTATATATGCATGCGCGATGCGCGCAACACTACCTACTATATTACCGCGCGGAGGACCTCAACAGTGATTACCTACACAGTTTGCGGCACTCGTCGCTGCGCTACTCGGCGCCGTCGCTGCGCTACTCGGCGCCGTCGCTGCGCTCTGCAAATAGAAAATATCCCCCGACTTGCTATGCAACACCACCTTAAGTAGGTTACAGCAGGGCCGGATTAAGGTTTTTGCCGCCCATAGGCTGAAATAAATTTACCGCCTAATTTTCATAGGTATTGATATTTTACTTCTGTAAGTGATACGTAAAAACTCTCCACACCCCATATACAAAATGATCATTAATAAAATAAAAACATAAAATCAATACTATTATTATTTATTAATGAATGAAAACTCTTTAAGCATATTACAAAAAAAAAATACGAACAAATAATTATTTTTCATATTCTTCAGATTATAGTCTTACGTCTTGATTTTTTTTTCGCAAAGTCTTCTATGATGTCGTCATATGATAACTGATTAGTTAATTCATGTTCAATACTTAGTATAGCAAGTGCATTTAATCGATCCTGTGACATCGATGATCGGAGATAATTTTTTATTCTTTTCAAGCAAGAAAAAGAACGTTCAGCTATACAGTTAGTCACCGCAGTAGATGTATATATTCTGAGTGCTATTTCGATGTTGGGATATATTGAAATTAAGTTTTTTTCATGTAAAATTTGAAGAAGTTTGGGAACATTGTTTTGCTTATCGTCAGCCAGTTGTATTATGTGTGCTTTTAAATGTAAACATTCATTGATTAATTCATTTAAATCCATATCATCATAGTATATTTCATTAAGTTGTGTAGCTCCTTTAACAATATCATCATGTGATAGACGTTCGAGCATGACAATAAAAGCAAATGGAAAAAAAAAATTTTGATACGCAGCTCTTCTTTTGTTAAGTTCATTCAATAAATGATCTAAAATTACTAAAAAGGTATCAATTTTAAATTTTTCTCTCCCAGAAGTAATTAAATCATTATGTCGAGTTTCATCATAAAAAATTGATTTAATTTTTTTACGAGTTTTTAAATCTTTATATTCTTTTGTAACAGATTTTTCAATTGCTTTTTTTTTCAAATTCATCAAAATGTTCACGAGTATTTGTAATAAGTTGAATTAAAGAATCGTAAATATATTTTCTTATACTTTATAATTAATATTAATAATATTATTTCATATATTATATTATTGCATGTTTTTATAATTTATATTTAAAATTAATATCTCAACGTAGTTTTTGGGTCACACCAAAAAAAAATTTGCCGCCCTTCAAAATTTGCCGCCCTAGGCTTTAGCCTACACAGCCTAAGCGGTAATACGGTCCTGGGTTACAGGGAAAGTAAAAAGTTATGTCGTAGTATATGCCGTATATGGGCAGTATTATACAGTTTGCGGCACTCGTCGCTGGCTCCGCAAATCAAAAATATCTCCCGACTTGCTATGCAATACCACCTTAAGTAGGTTACAGGGTAAGTTATTTCGTAATACAGTGTTACACAGTTTAAGTATAAAAACAACTAAAAAAGTCCTCCGGTCGCCAAACTCGAGGTCCTCGTGCGGCATTAGTAGTGTTGCGCGCATGCGTCTTAATCGTTAGCTTTGGGAGGCTATAACTTCAAAATTAAGTGAGAGCGACAAATTTTGATTGCATCATCGTTCTTAACTCGATGAGTTACATAAGTTTCGATAAAAAAAATTCAAAATGGCTAGGGGGAGCTAAATTGCAATTATGCCAATATAAAGTGTGAATTGCAGTAAATAAACTGTAATGATGTATAAGTACACGGGGTGAACAATTAAGCTTTAAATAATAAAAAAATAGTACTCATTAGTCTATAAAACGCCAAACGTAGTAAAAAAAAAATAGGTAGGATAAAAAAAGGTAAGAAAAAAAAAAAAGAGTGTAAATTTGTATAGTAGTATACGCAATTCGTAAAAACGAACGTTTCGCACAGACGCTCGTGGAAGAAAGTCGCCCGAAGTCGGAGCGGAGAGCCGCCCAGGTCCACTGAGCTTTTCGCTGTTTACTCTGCCACCACGTGACAGCAGTATTACCAAATGTTACCTATTTAATTTTAATAAGCTTTTTGTCAATGCTCAACGATTTTGACAGACCCGCGGTGCTGGTAATAACATCGGTAAATACCATTACTAAAATGCAAGGCAAAACTAAACAGTGGAATCAATTCTATATTTATTTGCCATCGACCAGTGGAAGTGAGTACTCGTTACTTTATTATATTTTTCACTTTTTTTTTTTTGTTTTTTTTGACAACTTTACTAATGTTAATTATTCGTTGTAGAATGTTTCATTTTAAAAATTGCAAGGTGACGGTGCAGGCTGCAACCAACCAACCACCATCTTCTGCAATTGTAGCACCTAAAAGTATGTATAAATATTGTCAATTGTCATGACGTATATACGGTAAACGGGAAAAAAGTCCCCGGTAAGAAAGTCCCACGGAAACAAAGTCTCTCATTGTAGAATAAATAAAACGATATTTCCTCTATACTGTTATATACTGGTATATCTATGTTTCTAAATAAATTGGGTTGACAAATCTTATACATTATTATATGTTTAAGATATTATATTATTTTCAATAAATTTAAAATGTATTTAATTATGTATATAAATACTTATCTACAATAATTTTTAATCCTAGAAAGGTATCTATTTAATTTAGTTGATTGTTAATAATTTTCAATACAAATATGTAACATGTCTTACCTATGGGCTATGTACTTAATAAATACATATATGATAAAAGACAGAATTTAAATCAAATATTAATTTGGAGCCTTTTTTTTTCCGTGGGACTTTTTTACCGGGGACTATTGGAACAAATGCACTTTACCACGCCCCTCACGAATTTCGATTTTTTTTTTAAAAAAATACGTGTTTTTCAACGCTGATTTTGAAATTGTTTGAATTTTTGTGCGGAAACCATTATTTTGGAAGTTATAGCCTTCCAAAGTTTGCGATTTTACGTTTATACGCATGCACTCAACACCACTATGCATTACCGCCGCGCGGAGCGTGTATTACCTATTTAAATTCTTTTTACGGGGACAATAATTTTAAAGTTGAAATTCAATTTTTTTATTTTATTGTATATTGTACTTATACACAATGTTAAATATTTAATAAACAATATTATCAGCATTTTCTTCATTTGTTTAAAAATTGCACATTTTAATTGGTCTTCGTTCTATTTTTATATCAATATCACTATTTTATAACTATTTCATTATAACTAAATTGTATATTATTACAAATATTGTTATATTCAATTATCTTGATGATAATTATATCAGGTAGATAAGCTAATGAGTATATTGTAGTAGGTACCTACTATACCTATATACCTCCGCTCCGCAAATCGAAAATATCTCCCGACTTGCTGTGCAACACCTCCCCAAGTGGGTCACAGGGTTCAGAAAATTGCATTTTTGTTGCACCGAGCCACCAATTTGAAAAAACATCGTACAGTGATGCGGTGCTAGCGGCACTCGTCGCTACGCTCCTCGGCGCCGTCGCTCCGCTCCGCAAATCGAAAATATCCCTCGACTTGCTGTGCAACACCTCCCCAAGTGGGTTACAGGGTTAAGAAAATTGCATTTTTGTTGCAGTTATGTTGTATAGTATGGGCAGTGATCCCTTGTTAGCGGCACTCGTCGCTGCGCTTCTCGGCGCCGTCGCTCCGCGCGGTAATATAGTAATGTTGCGCGCATGCGTATAAACGTAAAATCGTTAACTTTGGGAGGCTATAACTTCCAAAATAATGGTTTCCGCACAAAAATTCAAACAATTTCGAAATCAGCGTTGAAAAACACTTCTTTAAAAAAAAAAAAAAAAAATCGAAATTCGTGAGGGGTGTGGTAAAGTGCATTTTAGTCGGGACTATTTTCCGGGGACTTTTTTTCTTACATATAGACCTATAAACTAATGGATTGCGCCTCCCTCACCACCCAACCATCACTGAGTAACGCCAATATAGAGTGAGTAAGAAGGAACATAGTGGGGGAATCTTGATGAAATCATATAAGAGAAAGAGAGAAAAAACATAATGTGGGAAATCATAGACTTACGAAACTAATACTGTATATTGGACCTCTTACTTCTCTCTCTAAGCGTTGTCCATTAGTTTATAGGTCTATGGATAAACATGGTAATGTTGTTCGCTTTTCTTTTTCAGAATGCTACAATTGCAGAAAACCTGGTCACCTGGCCCGCCATTGTAAGTGTATTTTGTGTATATTATATATGTGATCGTAGGCAATGCATCTAAAATATTATTTATTATGCAGGCAGAAGACCAAAAGTTCAGAGGGACCGGTCCTCCCCCCGTCGGCGAGACCGGTCTCCGAGAGAGACGACCTCACAGCGGCTGCGGGACTCGGCCCCCCCGTCGTTGGGGAATGGTGCCAGAACTTCGCACCAGCACTCGGGCCATGACCGTGGCTCGAGTGCTGTGTCATCTATGGGCCACGATATGGCCTCTATGAATGTAGGAGTGAGTATAATATTGTAATATATTTGTAATATACATGTTAGTTATAAATGTTTTTAAATACATTGTTTATAGGATGACAGCAAGCTAGTGGTAAGCTATAAAAAGTTCCTGTGTACTAATTTTTGTGTTCTTTTTATTGTCTAATTCTAATTTGTGTTTGTATATATTTTCAGAATGAATAATGTATAAGTTATTAAGTTATAAATAGAAATATATATATATAATATATAACAACAGTTATTTGTAAGTGTTTTTTTTTATACATAACCTAACCTAACTCCTAAGTTATATTACAACATATATATAACAGATGTTATCATATTTATAAGTTTGCATAACTCTCCTTTAAAACGGTAGGTATGCATAGGCTCGAACAAATTATTGTTGGTATTATTAGTTAATTAATAATATTAATGGTAACATTAATTGTTAACCAATGGCTAATAAAAGATATGAAAATGTAATACAAGATTCCTTATAAGATTTTCTACATTTATCAAAAAAAAAATGTCTATAAGAAAGTCAAATTAAATTTTTATGAGTGTTTGAAATTCAAATTTTTACAACATTGGAGATTCGGTCGATTTCTCATATAGCGATTTCGTTATTTTGTTGTAATTCTAAAACGAATAACTGTAGATACATGAAAATTTCACTGAATGTTTATATTAGCATTTTCTAAACACTATACAATTTTGAAAATATTTTGACTCTTTTTGAGCTGTTTACGGATATTTTCAGTTTTCGATTTTTTTAGTTTTTTTTTCTATAAATATCAATAAAGTTTTATCTGTTGGGTCAAAAAGTATAAAAATTTAATACAACGCTCCTGATATATTGTTACAATATCAGTTTGAAAAATATTTCAAATACATATGCACAATTTCTTTTTATAAGCATTTAAAGATCGAATTTTGACAAAATTTATCAAAATCTCGAAAATTATCAATCATTGTAATTAATAAATTATAAAATGTTCAGTTTTTATAGCTAAGGACTGCAAATTTAAAACAGAGGTTCTCATGAATAGTTCATACTGTAACCAAAAAATCTAAAAAATATATGAACACAGTTATTTTTTACAGACATTTTAAATTTAAATTTGGACGAAATTATATATTAAAAAACCTAGAATAACTAATTTAGTTATTTTGTTGTGATTGTATAATATTATTCGTAGGTACTTGAAACTTCTAAAATGTACTATTATATTTATATATCTATGATAGTATCACGGTTTGTTGTTGATGTATAACGCTTATAAGTACCTAATGGATATTGTGATATGATTAATTTGGAATTTATTATAGGTCAATTTTATTTTAATACAATATATATGTAATATGTATATAATATGTCTTAACCTAGACTGACATACCGTCTCCACTCAGAATCGTTTTTCTCATACAATGATATTATATCATTGAATTCAAATTTAATACCATCCATTATACAGTGACCCACTTATAACCTACAGTACAGCAGAGCACCTTTTTTAAATTACAAATAATGTATAATCAATTAGGTATTACTAATCAGTAATTGCATAATATTTTTTCAATGAAA